ACGGAATATAGCAACCATAAACTCTGAAACTGCTATTGTCTCAATATGTCTTGCTGGGTTCTGCCTTAGCATGAGGGGCGGGAACCTACGGTTAGGTAATGAATCCCTCAATCCAAATTAGCGGAATTTTAGAATGAACGTCAGAAAGCGGACAAGGAGAACCACAGCAAGTACGTGGCTATCCTTGGATTTTTGGTATGACATAAGTCCATGATATTAAACTTTTATTCACCTGCCGCAGACAGATACTTCTGACATTCACGCTCTTAATCAAGGAGCATTCGATTCGGGTAAGAATCATTGAATTTGAAACAGTAGATAGGGTGGGGTGTGGTGATACCATAACAAGTGTGGTTGTAAGTGAAGCTAAGTTTCTATGGTAGTTTAAACCGGATCAGATGGTCAACTGAACGTATGTAGTTCGTGTCGTCACATCGCAATTTCTTTGAGGATAAACAGGCTATGTCGATTCGTCCGTTACTTTGTACATCCTCCGTGTAGGCTACCCTTGTGTACGGCCAAATATGGATATTTGTCGAGGAGAGCTATGTTGTGACACTGATAAACAAATCAGCTGAATCTACCGGACCAAAGTTGGCCCAGGAAATATGGAAGGCTTTTGCGGTTTCAGACAGCTTGTCCTTCTAGCTAGAAACTTTATGAATAGCACTCCAGGAAACTTGGTGAATAGTAGAGCACTTCCAAAATCTCGTTCGTCACCGACATTCCAGGTTGATTAAAATAGTCCATGTGTTAAAGTTTCGTTGGGGGTATGCGGGATCTCGTCAGTATTCAGAAGTGTCGTGACCAACATAATCCAGCCGATAGAGGCAAACGTTTGCGCAGCTGTCGTCCGACTTAACCCCAAATATCCGTGTATGCCACATCTGCATGAGCTGCGACAGGAAATAAATTGATGCGAGCTTGGTTTTCGTCTCTTCAACATGAACTAACGTCCATTTCAATCAATTTCCGACCGGACTGCTTCCAACCGCAACTCAATTCCGTCAATGATCGTAACTGCACCGAGAGTTTGGCTGATACTCAGGCTTGAAAAGACACTAGGTTTGGAATTCAAAATTCAAGAAAAAACTTCTTTGGGTTTTGGTTGGATTTTAATTTATCTGAAATTTCCTGTCCCCTGAAGATGAAAATTCGTAGAGAGTGGGAAAAGTTAGTAGAAAATAAATGTCTTGTACACACTGAAGTGGTTTCACGAACTGCGAGCACTCCCAAACGTGTCTAGCCAACAATTCAGAAACAAACGGTTGTCAAAAGACTCCAAATCGTTCACAGGTGAGACAGCGAATTTTCGGACAGTAATGTACTGCTACGCATGATTTGTATTCCCTGCTAGCCTTCGTTAAGGCCCTCTTGCGTGGGTTCGTGTCACTTAGACAAATGGTGAATCGGTTTTGCTTGTATGTTCAAAGTGATTGCCCATCTAACTCGTTGTGAGCTTCAACCGTAGTCAAGCTGAAACTTTACAGGTAATCTCAATTAGACTTCTGTCAGCCAGTGTGACTGTGAGTCAGAAATGTTTCAACATTTTGGAGGTACTTGTGAGTCGGTGTGAGGATGGTTCTTTATAAAATTCACTTCTTTGGAGGCGATTATTTTACCTGAACTAATCGCCTAAACGAGAGGGATTGTAAAAAATGTCCTCATCGGCAAAAACACCTTTGAAGCACATAAACTCTGAATTAAAAAATCATCGTTTTTTTAAATGACTAATTTCCGGCGGCCGCCCTAAAGGCTTCCGTTGCATTCTTCTTCTCTTCAGAGGAGGCCAAACTGAGAATCCCAGAAAAATAAGTTCATTTATTTTCCACATTTTTCGGATGGCTGATTAGCAAATGGCATGAAATACAAGACCATTCGGCTCAAAGGTGAGGAAATAGGGCTCCGAAGCTGTGGCTTATCCTGACTACCGGAGAAGGCTTTCTTTAAATATACGATCGGATTTCGCTCGTGTTCACGTTGTTCCCGTATGCTTCCAGTTAACCTTCAATTTCAAGAGTAGGGACAAGGCACCATAAGCGGCATCTTTCAGAATGCATTGGAGAACGTACGTGATACTTTTTAGTAATAGCGTGGCCACCTACAGAATATCGTGTGTCGAACTTGACCCTGATTGGTCTTTTCCCAGGCGTTTCATAGATCTGAATCCCTAGCTCCAGGTACTTCTAATCAACCTCAAACAATGACAGTCTTTTCAGCGAGCTTCGGCTTTGCAACGTGCGAAGCGTTCACTTTTGGGTTCCCCATAAGATGTAAACAGAAAAATTACGGGTTCGAAAAGTCCCATACATGGAAGTGTTCACCATCAGATCAACTTCTTCTTAAAGCCTATTCGTACCAAATATCTCTAGCCTGTGGGCTCACTTTCCAGAATTTATTTCGGTTCTCTTAATAAGGACGTTGTATTGGATTAGCCCACGAGCAATGCGCTTTCTTTTTTTTGACTGTGAGAAAAACATCCGTAATAGCCCAGAGATATGACTACAATTATGTGACGCCTACGGTCGTAAACTTAGGTTCGCTTGTCAGTCTTTTGTAGATAAATGTATTACAAGGGATTACACTGTTGCTGATTTACCGGTCTTTTACATCTATTCATTGAAGCTCGAATGGGAAAGTCAGTGCGCTTTCGACAGAGTAACGGTCTACGATGGATACAACTCTTCAGCGAAAAAGCTTGGGAGCTACTGCGGTAGCGGACTTCCTGGTTCAATAATTTCAACGGGCCGCTTTCTCTACATCCGCATGCTGACCGATGACAGTGTTTGTTTTTCCGGATTTTTAGCAAAGTACAAGTGCTGTAAGTTTTACTCCCTTTTTAATTTAAAATTCTGTCAACTTTCTTCGTTATGTTTGTCCGTCTTCAAGAATGAATACCTTTAGAGGATACCATATTTTTCTCTCGACAGGGTGGATAGACGTCTTTGTCTGGTTTCATTCGCTCCAGAGCACCAATTTTCAAAAGTCCTATTCAAGCCAGATCATCAATAGAGGAACCGGCTTATTTTTTCAAGTGGGATACAGGCCGCTCTTGCGAAACTGCCCCCTTGGAAGCGATTATCTTGAGGGTGATCGCAGATCACTTTTTCTCCTCGCTCCATCTCCCATGGAGATAATGGGTTACACCACTTCCCTACATAAAACAGACGCTTTGATTGAAGTTGCTTGTTCATCAAGGAATTTTTATCTCGTAAAGTCACATCGAGGAATCTAGTATCTTCACATATAGAAATGGGTTCTAATTCGGAATCGCGAAAGGTAAACTGCTTTGGGAATGAGCAAGATTTACCCGTTGACTGTTATATTATGTCTCTGGAGCAGCAGTTAGCCCATTCACGACTACATAGTGATCCAGTGGATAGCTCTGGCTTATGGCATAAAAAACAGTAGTAAGAGTTCAGCTTTAACACGCTTTCAATACTATCGGGAAAGTCATATTCCTGAAAGTAACCCCAGAATGCCCGGAACCTACTGAGGCCCCAAAACTCCAAAATCTCAATAGAAAGGCCGGCAAGTATCCAGGCGTGTCAATCATTCACTCAGTTCAGCAAAAGCCGACGAGTGTTCATGCACACAACAGAAGTATGACCGAATGTGATCAGCGTTCAGACATTTCATAGAGTCCCGATCAGTGTTGATGGGCGTTCGCTAACGCCTATTAGACAGCCTGTATCAATGTCAGAAGATCCCCTTTAAATAGCTTGGGGCCGCTGTAACTTTGGCTCTCACACTCGCACACACTCACTCGCTTGTTCGGAATATAGCTGTTGTGTTCCCTTCTGTGAGTCTTTTTTTCCGGCAACTAGGCACTGGAGCGGGTCAGCAGCAGATACCACAGATTGGCGAATCAGCAGATATAACAAATACTCAGCTGCTATGCCATTCATCAAACGCAAGAGTACTGAGATACTACCAGGTTACCCAAGCCTAAACAAGAGCAGTCGAGATGAAGAAGTAGGGATCGAACCACGGATCTTCCAGTCAGTAAGTTCGCGCCTTAAACACTGACCTCTCTTGATATGCTCACCTCAGCGTCCGTTCAGTTGTAGTACAAATCTGAGTAACGGACCGAACGGTATGTGGCGAAAATGAAGGATAAGGCAAAACCATATTTCTTGAGTTTTCCTAGGCTCAATCACTTTTGAAGCGTAACTAAGTGGACGGGCTACACGAGTTTGTAGCTCAACATTGACTCCTCTGGTGATATTTCTCAGGAACCAAGCGCTTGGCATATTATTGGGCCTCCGTTTCTATTCTGGCATGTTAGCATAAAGACTGGTTATTTGTAACGATCCACACATAAGACTAACTGAGTGTCACGTATGATAGCCACGTTAATATCCTGGCAAAAAGGCAGTCTTAACTAGTTCGATGGAATTATGATGAAAACCCCGATTTTTTAGTCTTTTAATTTAATTTAGTCTTTAATTTGATCTTTCAATTTAGCCTCTGACCCAGCTTTTCTTTAACTGAATTATTTGTAGTTAAGTTCACATTCAAACGATTCACATATTTTCGTAGGTCTCTTGTCCAGTTTGACATTTTACCACGAATATGTCTGTTCATGTAGACCACATTTGGACTAGTTGTTCCCAGTTGCGGGTGATTTCACGTTCTTTATAAATGGGGAACTCATATAATTCCGGATAAACTTCATATGTATGATAATTGCAACTGTAGTGACGGTTATTGGCACCCATCAACGACAAAACATGAGATGGTGTGCCTTTGTTCCTCCTAGGAAGTGGCCTGCCTCGAAGAGATTACCACTTGTCGCCTGAGATATTCAAATCTCAATTTCACTAGACTCTCAACGGATGTCCATTTTTACGACCATTTGAAATTTTAAACAGGGTATGAAACAGACGGCAAAAAGTAGTCGCCTTGGCCAGCACACGTATGAAAACATCCGGTGACTTTCATACTTTTCTGCTATAGTTCGTGGTATTCTTATAATGATACTGAATGCTTCAACTTAGTCGACTATGGCATATCAGACAGTGAAGATACTGGTTTTTTTCGTTCTGTAGTTGAGGGCCCGCTGGTCACGGATACAACCACACAAACAGTGGTTACTACGGACACAGAAACTACTTCTACCTCACCTTCACCTGGAAGTAAGTCTTCCCCTCACTTTACCCATTAGCTGCTAAATATTAGAAGCTAAGAGGCTGATTCTAACAAGGCTTACCTTCCCATGGTGTTTTAACTAATTTATCGTTTCCATGTTGTTGTCTATTCAATAATCAAACTGGGCATGAACTGTGTAACTTCAACGACAACAATGGGAATTTTAAAAAGCCAGCAGACATCACGGCAAAGTTAAATGGCGTAGCCAGGAGAACATGCGAATTCCTGTGCAGTCATAGCCACCACGGTTCAGCTGTAACACCCTTTTGGTGCCTAGCTGCCATGCCATCCGAGGGAAGCAGGAGGGCCAGGATACTGCCAGGTTGCCCAAGCCTAGACAGGGGAAGTCGAGAGGCAGAGGTCGGGTTCTAACACCGGACCTTCCGGTCAGTAAATTCTCGTTCTAACCACTTGATCCATCTGGTCGTCAGTAGCGGTCCCTGTTATCGGGCCGTTAGTTAAACGATGTGGTTAGACACAGACGAACAGGGAACTCAGACTATCGCCGTCACTCAAGTCTGTAAATAATGTGGGGAGATAGTTGGAAATCCACCGACAGCTCATCGCCTGATTTCCTTGCTCGATTCTCGAGTAAACAAGATCTGAGAACCCCGGTCAACGCTTTTTCCCTATTTTAGCAGCAACCAGAGGGTTCTGGATAGGGTATCAGCTTGATCTTCAGAAGGGCTCTTAACTGCTTATGTTACCTTGTCGGCAAACTAGTGCTTACTTATCCAGCCCATATTAATTCGGAGTTGCATCGTGTGTTTCGTTTCTTTCTTAAAAATTGCAAAACTGACTCGTCCGATTCTCACACTACTCCACACACACTCCAAAGAGTGGCTTGTTAAAGAAGTTACTTACATCAGTCGCGGGCTATCGGAAGAACCAGAAAGGAAGCTGAAGTAACTGAAGTTCCGGCTAAAGTGTGCGGGTTATCCACGGCTGAGTAACTGCCGCTGGTTGCAAATTGCTTCTAATTTCCATCCAGCTAAGGGAACCGTGTCTAAAGTATTAGTACCTCGGTTGGGTTAATCGAAAGTTTCATTGTGTATGGTAATCTTCGGAATATATCATCTGGCACCCAGCGTTCATCAGTGGGTCCATTAGCTGTTAGAATGCGACAGCAACCACATTCTCCGACCGGGAACAGAGAGTGAGGACATAGATTTAGTGAACGAAAACAGGCAAGCAGGAACCTAGAATGGCCTGTGAGAAAGTTGGACGAAGATGGTGCTAACTAATGCCATTGGTTGTGAGTAAAGATATTGCGGATATCAAGGTATTTGCTCTTTGTAAAGCTAACTGAGACAATCCTGAAGATTTCACCGAATTTAGAGATGTGCTTCGGTGAACTTACCATGAAGGAGTAATTTTTATCCCGATGATCATAAGGAAAAAGTAACGCCCTTTAAAAGACCTGCTTTAAAGGGTAGCGATAAAAACTTCCGTTGAACTAGACATGCTTATTAGCAAAATAGTCATCCGAGAGCTGGACAACACATTGCCCGTTGTTTTCATTGACTAGTCACACTGCTGACATTGTCTGATTCTCCCCATAATTGGAAAACAAAATTGTACAACCAGTAACCACTGTAAATTGGCCCACTGATAATAAATGAATAGCTAACTGGATGATCAAGAGAATGCCCTTAGTCTACCATCCAGGTATTAAACCTCGCGTAAACTTAAGGTCAAAATATGACCAAATGTAAGTAGGATAACTTCTACTGCTTTAGACTACTATGGATCAAAAGTATTCGCGAAACGTTCTCTCCTGTTTCCTGTGTAAGCTCAAGATAGGGTAGGTGAATCTAAACCAGGGAGTGAACGAGCCTTGTCGTGGGCACTTCCAGCTCCAATATATACTTGATAGATACTGATTTTATGAGCGGTGACTTTTAGTAGGAAAAACATTGTTCATCAATCATCTATCGCCCTGACTTTAATCGGCGTTCAATCATATCTCCCCAGGTTAGTTTATGTGCAAAAAGAAAACACGCCCGCAATCCCTTTGTTCCTGCGACCACTAGTAGGCATGAAAGGTTTAACTGGACCCCTTTTATCCTTCTTATTGGAGGAAGACGTGCTGTAACCATCCTCGACACCTACCGCCGTGACTTCAGGTTTCCCAATCTATCTGGTGTCATCCGCCACTGGGGCTCATCTAGAAGCAACATACCATAAGGCTGACTCTCTAAAAGTGCAAGTCCTTGCAGTAAGAGTGAGAATGGCTGCAATTGGTCTAAGTGCATCTCTGGTTATGCTGCTGTCCAAACAGAACTTCCCTGTGGAATTGCAATCGATAAGGTAGTTTGACTCATTACTTGTAAGCGCTTCCTTTCTGTCAGGAGTACGAGGGAGGCCGGTAGTTTTCCGACGCTTAGTGACTGCACATGGGGACCATCGATAGCTGAGAATCGTGCCATGGGCCAGGTTGCACCAGTTTCTCCAATTGTGCCTCACCGTTTGCTCCCACCGTTAAGCCAGCAATCCTGTTGTTCCCGTTTGATCAGCTTCCCTGCGTTACATCCTTGAGACAATCGGATGTACGCACACTCTTGATCATCAGACTGGGTTGTGCAGGTGTGCTATCGTGTCCCAGAGTTAGGAAGATTGAGCTCGCACATCCTACAAACTCAAGGAAAGAGTGATGTATATCGTTCCCCTTGCATTGTGCGTGCGCCAAACGCAGATGCGTGTGTAGGCGCATTCGCGAGAAAATTATTGAAGCGTTCACATGTTGAAGATTCCTCAGTCAAAGCATAA